TTTTTTTTTTTTTTTTTTTTTTCTCGTTATTATTATACTCTTTAACATAATAATCAAAAACCCAATTCTACGATAGAAAAAAAGTTAAAAAAATTAAAATAAGAATCTGTCCCATACGAAATGGCAAAAAAAAAAAAAGAAAAAGAAAATATTATTTTAGGTTGGTAAAAGGTTTGAACAGGGGAGCGAGCATGAGAGGAATTATTGTTATTATTATGCATGCTTTTGTTTCTTCTTGACTAAGCAAACGAATAATGTTGGGTTTGAACTTGGAATTGAAGATGGCGTGTGTGAATTGGAAGTACCTTATCCCACAGTCCATCAGACGCCATTATCAAGAACTCGCAATCAGGAGTTAGAGGCAGACGACGGATTTCAGGCTCTGAAATCACCCATTCTTTCAAATGCACGTCTCCTATGGCCCTCGACACCGCCAGCGAACCTTGAACTCTCCACACTCCGTTTTTGCACTCCACAAATCCCCCCTGCAAATCAATTCAACTTCAATTGGAATTGGAATGGACATGGACATGGACATGGACTTATTCATTTCCTTTCACTCACCGACTTCTCAATCCGGAGGCGCTCGTCTTCTCGACACACACGGTGTTGCTTCGTCAATGCCGTCGCTACGCCGTTTCGGCTCAATACCACTCGACAATCTCCGACGTTGGCAACATGAAGCTCGCCGTCCTTCACCAGCACGCTCGCCGCACAGGCTCCACTCCCAACGCCCTGCGATGAACCGGGGGGTACGCCAATTGTTTTAATCGAATTTTCGGTTGCCCTACGAACTTGTGTGAAAGATTAATCAATTTGTTACCTGACCTGACTAAGAAACTCTTCGTCTGTGCGTCCGTGGCCTCTACGAATCGCCAATTCGATTGCGTTTTCTTCGTCCTCGGCAATTTTCTCAAGAGCGTTTATGATGTTCTTCCCTAAATTTTCGACCACGTAGTCGGCTGCATCGCGACCGCCATGGCCGTCCACTACAGCGAAGAAAGCCTGCTTTTCATTTCGAATTATATTGATGTACATGATCAGTCTCTCCAAACCAAACCGATGACGAAATTTCAATTCGATCGGGTAAGAATCAGAACACGGAAGAAATATTGCAAAAAATTTACCTGTTTGGAATCTCCCAACACATCAAGCAAAACTATGTAGGCATCTTCCAACGTTTCTCGCCTTCCTTTCTTGGTTGCCAAACAGTAATCCCTCCCTTGGACTTGGAATTCCTGATTCTCCATTTTCTTCCTCAGTTTCGTAAATTCCAATCCAGGACAATATTCCGGCACCACCAGCCTTCCAGGTCTCTTCCTCAACTTGTTAGGAGCCCCAGAGCCCTTTGCCATTGTTGAAGAATCCGAGCCTTCCTTAAACTTCTCGTCACGAAGGCTCTTCTCCTCCTCCTGTGGTTTGTCATCAACCTGGTTCTCAGACGTCTGGTTGGGCGGCAGCAGAGTATTTTCTTGGGCATCGAGAACTGCAGAGGAATCGTCTGGCAGGGGCGATGTTGCCTTAGTTCCGAGGAGAATATGCCTAACCCACGAAGTAGGAGGAGGAAATACAGGGGAAGAAGGAGAATAGAGAGAGAGGGCCATTGGAAGGGCTTTGGTCAAGCCCCGTAGAGAACAAAAAAGCAGAGAAAAAATGGAAAATCCCCATAAGAATTCCTGCAAATCAGACATTAGAAAATATAGTTAAAAATGGAATGGGAATGAAACCAGAGAGAGTATGGAAACGGAGAAAGAGAAGAAAAAAAGAAGGAAGAAATTGACTGGTCAAAGGGGAAGTTGATAAAAGAAGAAGCCAACACCGTCGGAGAAAAATCAATTTATGAATCAGAGGGAGCTTTTGAATGTTTCAATTTCATGAATCACAAATCACGAATCACGATCACAAATAAAAATGGAGGGTGGAAGCGTTCAAAATGCCTATTTTTTTTTTTTTTCTTTTCATTCTCTTTTTACCTTTTTAAAATCTTTAATAATAAAGCCTTTGATTTCAATTTCTTTGGTAATTTACTTGAGATTTTAGTGATTCTCATAAATGCCCATTCAAATGGGGATTTATTATTATTATTATTATTATTACTACTACTACTACAAAGGGGGATTCTATTATCTTTTTTTATTTAGTTGACTTGGTTTTGTTTAGAAATAGAACTCAAAGCCGACATTAACATGTCGTATCAATTATTGTTAATCTGAATTTAATGCTTAAATACGGCGACGTGTCATTTTTTATGTCTCCATTTGGATGTATTACATGGTAAAAGAAAAACTTTAATAGCTAGCTAAAGAGGTAGGACTAATATGCGCCTTCAACAGTTTTTCATTCAACTTAAAAAAATACAGTTTTTTTATTTTTTATTTTTACAGACTTACATTTTAATAAAAACAATACGAAGGTGAATTTGAATTTACACGTGAATTTAACTACAGTACTACACTAAAATTTAGTGTGCTCTGAGATTTTTCTTTAAATGTTTTTTTGATGTGTTTCAATTATTTAGAAAATATTTTTTATTGTTGTGAATTGAGTATCTATTTCATTCGATACAAACTTTTTGTCAATGATTTCAGACTACAATGGGAGATTGAAATAGATGGTTTACAGTTTACATTCACGTTTTTTTTTTTTTTTTTTTTTTTT